AAAACATGTTGAGGTTAATTAGTGATTCTAAATTGTCCGCAGGTGTGAATGTGAGTGTGCTTGGTTGTCTGTCTCTAAGTGTAGCCCTGTGATAGAGTGGTGACCTGTCCAGGACGTCCCCTGCCTTCACCCTGAGTCAGCTGGGATAGACTCCAGCCCCCCCGCAACCCGTGTGAGGATTAAGCGGTTTATAGATGATGGATGGATGGATGAATATATATTCTTTTTTTTTAAAAAAATTAAACTGATATTTGTCATCATTTGAAAGAAAAAACATGTATGTTAAAAACTGAAAACTGGTAAATCACTGTTAACTGTTGTTTTCCACATAATCTGTTTTGTTCAAGGACAGGTAATAGCTAGTAAAAAAAAAAAAAAACATTATTAATAAAATTAATTTATTAATAAACACTACCAAAACAGTAAATAATATCCACACCAAAAAAATATATTTTGACAAATAGGGATTTGTTCTTTTATAATGTGTAACCATAAAGTTACATGGTATTATTGTATTACTGTATTACTACCACTAAAACCTTTTCCCCATTTCCTTCTCACTGAAACAAAAATAAAAATGATGCTGTGACTTTTGCTGCAGTCTCTACCAAACATGCATGTTCCATTACAACTGGAGAATAGGATTTGTAGTGCAGAGTGTTTCTGTAACACCACAACGCTTCATATATATACAGTGGTATGTTGGAACACATATGGCCTTCATCAAAAAAACAAATAAATAAATGCAGCTCCTGTGATGTAAATAGTGTACTTGGCCATAATGCAATTTCCATTAATTGTTCAGCCCTACACCATGTTTATGTCAGGCTATTGCTGCATTAATAATGGCTGTATATTCATTATAATCCAAATTGCATATTAAAAAAAAGTCCAATGAGTTGGCACCCTTATCCACAAACCCAGAACACGGGTGAGCTGATGGCAGCAGGGGTTGAACAAGACCCCCTGTGCTTACGCTGCAGTCCCTGTAATAACTTTGCTTCCATGTCACAACCCGAAAGAAGAAAAATCAATCAACGGCAACTTTCAGCTTGACTGAGATTTAGTTCAACTGTTTCACTGAGAGCCTTTTCTTTAAAAATAGTTTTGTCTGAATAAGTTGTCAAATCTGTCAACAGTCAAAGACAAACTCAAAAATCAACTTAAGAAACAGCTTGAGTTATTTGTTTTGTTCATTCAAGCTTTACTTAATAACGACAGTCCTGCTGAGTCAAACATAAATCAATGAACACAGCATTCTTTTCAAAGAACACAATAAAAAAAAAAACATAAGAAGGGAAATCAGACTCCGGATGTGATTTCAGTATCAGTTGACTATTTCAAAAACAGAGACAAGCAAATGTGTTGAATTTTCATTAGATGAGCCGTCCTATTAGGTTTGAAGTCTGCTCAGTGTGGACTGGGTGGGAGAGCTTTTAATCCATCTCTGCCTGGGCTTTTACACGACTGAGAAGAAGCAATTAATTGGACCTGAAATAGTTCATTTCTGAGGAACATGAAAGCCTCACTCGAAGCAAAACTCTCCCACTGTGACTTATTTAGTTTTTAAATGCATCAACAACAAACTGACCGCAGTCCTGGAGGAGCTAGACGAAAAAAAACAAAAAAAACAGACTGGGACAAATGCAGGCTGGTAATAATCTATACAATGACTACGCATGCCCTACAGAAAAAAAACACACGTATTAGAATTCAAGGAGTGCTTGAGCTTGCTTCCAACGGGCCAATTATCACAGAGATTTCCATCATGTACCTCGAGGCAGAGAGAAGGAATACAAAGAAGCCTGGCACAGTTCCACAGGAAGGCCACTTCTTTTCTTTCACTTTGCTGGAAAAAGCCTACAAAATTGTGAGATATCATCGGATAGAGAAGGAGAAGAAAAGAAAGAGCATGCAAGAGGGAGGATGAGTGATAGAAGGAAATGAGGGAGAGAAAAGGAAGAATTGGGGGGATCCAGAGAGAAAAGCAATTATCTCGCAGCATCCGGATGCTATGACAGCAGCTGACAGGCAGGGAGAGCTGCAGCTTATTGCTAAGCTTTCATCATCACTGTCCGCCACCCCCCTTCACTCGCTTTCTCTTCCCATAATTTCTCTATGTACACAGCAACAGAACTTCTCAACTCCCTCAGCTACCTTTGATTAAGGCACAAACCGCAGATCTGCAGTATGTGTGTGTGTGTGTGTGTGAATTTGAGCATGTGTGTTTGTTTATGTGCAGCTGCCCGTGTGTACATGTGTGCGCTGCTTTTTCTAAAAGGCGGCTCTGCTCGAGTCCCCTCGGTCCTATAGCCCTGTCAAAGCAGATGCCTCAGTGCTCCCTAAGAGCTGTCCATCTTTTCATTTAAATCAGCGGCAGTGACAGAGGAGACGGAGGGGAGGTTTACTGAAGCAGCAGCAGCAGAGTGTCTTCTCACTTTTAAGAAAGAACAAGGATTGTCTAACACACCGTAATGGAAAACAAGTGAGCTGAGCAAACTCTTGTTTTTGGAAAGCTGCGCCGGCTTTTCAGCTGCCAAACAGGAAATAAGATGCACTGTGGTGTAATGTATATGCAAATAAACATATGAACATGCGGCACATATGCACACACAGACTGTGTCAGCTAGCTTATGCTGGAGTCTCCACGGACCCCTCGGTGGAGTGAAGCCTTCTGCAGCAGGCTGACCTGAAACATACATGAGAGTGAGGGAGACAGGGAAAGGTGCTAAATTAAAAATGATCGTCTCCTGATGGGCTGTAAGTGGTGTTCTGGA